CTGGGCAACGAGAGGCAGGAAGCGGCTGGAGCAGCTGGAGCTTGAGGCAAAGAGAAGCGGCCCCGCAGGGGCCCAGGGACACAGCCGCCTGCCCTGGGATTGCTTCTCCCTCCTCCCATGCGAGCCCTCTGTCCCCCAGGTCTGCGTCCGCTATGCCCCCCACCCACGTGCCCCTGGCCCTGGGCTCCGTGCTGCTGCTGCTGCTTCAGCTGCTGTCCCCCACATCTGCCTTCTTCCCCAACATCTGGAGCCTCCTGGCCGCCCCTGGCTCTGTCACCCACCAGGACCTGACGGAGGCGGCGGCTCTCAATGTCACTCTGCAGCTCTTCCTGGAGCGGCCGCCCCCGGGCCGGCCCCCCCTTCGTCTTGAGGACTTCCTGGTGAGTCCCTGGGTCCTGTCACACGCCAGCCCGACCCCGGCGGTCCTGGGGCCTCTACTCCCTGAGGTCCTGCTTGCCTGTCCCCTCCTCTCTACCCCCTGCAGCCACAGCGCCCAGGATCCCTGGTCCTGAAATCAGGAGTCCCTCCCGCTGAGGAAGATCCCGGGTGGCCCCGAGGGGTGCCCGCCGCGCCCTTCCACACAGCCTTGCGTGCCAGTTCCCGAGGAAGCGTGGGCAATGGCCCAATCCCAGGGGCTTCCCTGAGCCCGTCCCCTGCCCTCTCCCAGGGCCGCACCCTCCTCGCCGATGACCTCTTTGCCTCCTACTTCGGACCTGGGTCCCCTTCCCGGCGGTTCCGAGCAGCCTTAGGCGAGGTGTCTCGTGCCAATGCAGCCCAGGACTTCCTGCCAACTTCCAGGAACGACCCTGACTTGCACTTTGATGCCGAGCGGCTGGGCCAGGGGCGCACACGCCTGGTGGGGGCTCTGAGGGAGGCCCTGGTGGCGGCCCAAGCCGGCGACCACGCCCTGGCCCGGCAGCGCCTCGGGGCGGCCCTCCACGCCTTGCAGGTGAGCAGGACTGGGGGTCATGGGCAGAGGGCCCTTCACTGCCAGTCTTCCCGTCTCCCGGGCGGCGCCTTCTTGACCAGGCCTCGGGAAGGGACCGGGGCCCTGTCTGCCAAGGCCCTGAGCCACCCCCTGGTCCCCGCGGCCACACGGCAGGTGAGGGCTGGCAGCCGAGACAGCCAGTGCCGTCCCTCTCCTTCCCCGGAGCAGGACTTCTACAGTCACAGCAACTGGGTGGAGCTGGGGCAGCAGCGGCCACACCCGCACCTCCTCTGGCCACGGCAGGAGCTGGGGAACCTGGCACAAGGTATGGCCGCCGCCTCGCCTCCGCTCTGGAACGCCCTCCGAGGCCTCGCAGCTCGACCCGAGGCCAGGCCGTCGGGTGGCTTCCCTGAGGTCGCCGGGGAAGGACGGCCAGGACCAGGCTGCAGGCCCCGCTGCGTCCCTCCCACATGCTTCCCCGCCCCCCGGGTCCACGGGGCTTTCTCTCTCGGTCCCTCAACCTCCCAGCTGAGCAAGGACCGCAGCTGCCTCCTGTCCGACCGAAGCTCACTTCCTGTGCACAGCGAGCAGGGGTTGGCCCCACACGGCTGGCGTCCCTGGCACAGTCCCAGCCGTAGATCCTGTCTCACCATCAGCCCCTGAGCTCCAGGGTCAGTTCAGGGAGCCTAGGGGGCGCCTGGGACGGCTCCCTGAGGGCTGGCGCCTCGGCAGCGGAGGAAAAGCTGAGGTTTGGGTGGACAGGGTTGGGGTCGGGGCCGCAGGGTCTTGGGCTCTAGACCTTGCCCCTCCCTTTGCAGTGGGAGATCCTACCTGCGCCGATTGTGAGGAGCTGAGCTGCCCTGGGAATCTGCTGGGTTTCACACGCCTCACCTCTGGCTACTTCGGAACTTATCCCTCCAAGCCTCCAGGTACCAGACAGAAAAGCCCTCAGAAGTAAGGGGAGAGTCACCTCCCTTCCCGGACCCTGTCCCCAGGGCCCTCAGTCTCTAGGTCCTCGCCCCACTTCCTGGAAGGGAAGGGCTGGGTGGATGAGGGCCTGCCGAGTGGCCAGGACTTGTTGGGGGAGGGGGTGGGAGCAGCTCATGAGACCTCCATTGCCTGAGGGCAGCTTCTGGGGATGGACTGGGCCTGGGGATCCCTCATGTGCTGTGGGATGACCCTCCAGAATGTCATCACTTCCTGCCGGTCCTTCGCTGAGCAGTGAGAGGGCCAGGCCCGCTCAGAAAGGCCCCATCTCTTAGGGGGCAGTGGGTTTTCTACTCCCACCTCCAGATCCCTTTCCCCACCCAGGAAAATGCAGCCACGGGGGCCGTTTTGACCAGAGCAGCTCTCAGCCACCCCGGGGAGGCATCAACAAGGACAGCACAGCCCCGGGCTTCTCCCCCCACCACACGCTCCACCTCCAGGCTGCAGAACTGGCCCTTCTGGCCTCCATCCAGGCCTTCGGGCTCCTGCGGAGCCGCCTGGGGGACCGGGGCTTCTCCCGGTGAGTGGCCCTGGAGGCGGGCTCCCTAGGAGCTCCCGGGGGAGCTGAGAAGCCGGGGCTGGGGACCAGTGGGCAGACCCTCCCTGTGGCTCTCCGCAGGCTGCTGGACATCACCCCTGCCTCCAGCCTGAGCTTCGTGCTGGACACCACAGGCAGCATGGGCGAGGAGATCAACGCCGCCAAGATCCAGGCTCGCCACATTGTGGAGCAGCGGCGGGGCGGCCCCATGGAGCCCGGCCACTACGTGCTGGTGCCTTTCCACGACCCAGGTGGCCGGTCTGGCGGGAGAGTGGAGGGAAGGAAAGCGGTCAAGGTGTGCCGCGGGCAGTGGGCCTGCGCTTGCTGCGAACAATCGCCGCTGCGTCCACTGCTCCCAAAGGGCAGCAGGTCACAGCGCTTCCTTCCCCAGCACCCACGCTTAGGCAGTGGCCCTGCTTTCTTAGGCTCCAGTCATTTTCAGGTCTCTCTACTTCCCACAGACCGAGGAGGGGATGCGGGGGTGGGGGGCGGGGGGTTGGTGGGTGCAGGCCTCTGAAGTATCTGAGACAGACAGTTCCATAGCATTGAACAGGAAGTCAATCTGACCTGGGCCAATCTCACTGTGTGTCCTTAGCTTGGTCCTATCACTTGGCCTCATTAAATGGGTCCCCACCAGCTCCATCCTGACTGTCTCCCAGGGTTGAAATGATCACCAGGTAAAATGCCTGTAGGACCGAGCGTTTCCCCAGGGCCGGTCTAAGTCTGCATAAATCTCATAGCTGGCAGTACGGGGTTTCTCACATATTCGATGAAGGTATGAGGAAGTGAATAATGAAAAATTCAGCCACTTATGTGTCAAAGGCACTATTCCAAGATTCACAAAACCGATTCCTTTAGTCTCCCAATAACCCTGAGGTGAGTGCTGCTGTTGTGGCTTTGCTGGGAGGAAACCAAGGCCCGGCTGTTTTTTATTCTTACACACACTCCCCAGAAGGCCCCCAGGCCCCAGGAAGTGCGCCACTTTCCCAGCAGAGGCCGAGCCCTGCCCTGCCTGTATCAGGGCAGGCTGGTATGTCAGGACTGCCCAGCCCAGGAGCACAGCGGCCTCCTGCCGGGTGGGCGTGAGGGGGACCTCCTCGCTCTCTCCACCTCTCACCTCTTTCCTCCTCCCAGGGTTTGGCCCTGTCTTTACCACCAGTGACCCTGACAGCTTCTGGCAGCAACTCAATGAGATCCAGGCCGTGGGAGGCGGAGACGAGCCTGAGATGAGCCTGTCAGCCCTGGAGGTCTGCCCTCCCGCCCCACTCTCCCCCTTTTCAGGCCCCACCACCAGGGGGAGTGAGAGCCTTCCTGGGACCCTGTCCCCATCCCTCCTCCAGAGTCTGGCCCCACTCGCTTCACGCCAGCTCTCCTTGCTCTACCCCGTCCCCTGCTGCCGCCATCTTCACACCAGCCGTTCCCTCCCTGCCAGCTGGCCCTGCTGCACACCCCTCCTCTGTCAGACATCTTTGTCTTCACGGACGCCTCCCCCAAGGATGCCTTTCTCACCCGCCGCGTGGGAGCCCTGGCTCAGGAGCGACGCTGCAGAGTGAGCATAGCCAGTGGGCAGCCCGACGTTAGCTCCCCAGGGAGACCCCGGGCCACGCCGCCCTGTGGCAGTCGAAGCAGCCTCGGCGTGAAGTGGGAGCCTGGACAATGAGGTTGACATTTCCTGATCCCTTCGCAACTAACGCGTGAGAGGCCCTGCCCTTAATGAACTGAATTTGTATTTGAACCTGCCCCCAATAAACCATCTGAACACCCGGAGATCTAGCTGCCAACAACCCACTATGTGGATGACATATGGCAACAGTTACAAGGAGTGGCAACTACTAACAGAGGGCGGGGGGGTGGGGGGGTGTCAGTGGGAGACGCTGCGTAGCAGCCAGAGGGTAGACGGAGACCTTACCAGCAGCCGGGAGCCCTGGGGGGACGGGAGCATGGAGGCCGCACTGACCACGGGAGATGGCGCGCGGGCTCCTGAGTACTGGCCTCTCCTCTGCGCACAGGTCACATTCCTGGTGACTGAAGACCCGTCGCGGGCTCAGCGCCGCGTCCGGCGTGAGGTCTTGTCCCCGCTGCGCTTTGAGCCTTATGAAGTGGTGGCCCTGGCCTCTGGAGGCGAGGTGATCTTCACCAAAGATCAGCACATTCGCGACGTGGCAACTGTTGTTGGGGACAGCACGGCCGACCTGGTGAGCGGACGGACGGAGGGACAGGGCTTTCAGCTCGGCCCTGGGGAGTGAGTGACGCTGCACCTCTTCCTCGTAGGAGGAAGGGAATGGCTCCCATTGCCGAGTTGCCAGAAGGTGTCGGGGTGGGAAGGGCAGTTTGTCTTCCTGGAGAGCCAGGCTATCCACCCGCCCCTCCCATGTTAGTCCCACCCCTCCCCCCCCCAATCTTGGGCTCCAAGGTTCTGTCCTGGGGACAGTGAGGGACTCCTCCTTAAGCCCTCGCCTCCAGCTGTCACGCTCTGTAACTGTCCCTGGTCCATGCCCCCTCTCGTCGGTATCTTCTCCAGGCGTCCGTCACTTCGCTTCTTTCTGTCTCCACCTTCCTCTTGTCTTTGTTCCCACTCATTCCACGCCTTAT